GACAAGCAGGGGCCCCACGCTAGTGACTGGGTGATGGCCAGTCCGCCGAACGCTAACCTGGTCTGGGCGTGGCCGGAAGGCCTCGTGAGATGGTGACAGTGGGGAGGGCTGGGCTCCAGGGCCCCCCCTCAGGGTGAGACCAACATCTAACCCGTGGCAAACTCCGTGCCCCCCAAGGCCCTGCACCCCGAGACTGCCTGTTACGTTATAGGGAGTGCCCAGCAAGCCTGGGCCAGGGCCCCAAAGCCTGGACAGGCCTGCCCGTCCAAGGCTGGCCAACATGGAGGCCAGCAGAAGGACCTGCCCGAACCTCAGGAATCCAGGCACGCCATTATCATCGAGGGCATGTCCCACAGCCCATCTACACCTGGACTGAGGGTCTGAGTGGTCTGGAGTCAGGAAGACCTGAGTTCAAACCCCACCTCAGACAAGTCGCTTAACCTTTGTTCACCTCACTTTCCTCATCTGTAAAACGGGGATGGACAAAAACGGCACCTCCCTCCCAGGGCTGTTGTGAGGATCACACGAGGGCGTCCTCACAAAGAGCTCAGCACCATGTCCGGTATGCAGCAGAGACCCCACAAATGCTCATTCCCTCCCGCTTTCCCCCATGAGCGGCTGCAGGCCCCCCAGTGACAGCTGTCTCTTCAGGACCCCGCCTGAGCCCCCAGGCACTCACCATCTTCACAGAGGGGCGGCACCAGCAGGAGGTCACACCTGAGAGCAAACCAAAGAGACTCCTCTCAGGGCAGGGCCCTGCCCGTCTTCCCTGGCCATGCGGCCAAGCCCTCCCTAACGGGGAGCTGGGGCCTCTGGGGACCGGCCCCGAGGATGGGGAGCCGCTGCCTTCCACGCTGGGACAGCCCTCCCTGGGACGAAGCTCTTCGCAAATTTCAGCCCCAGCTGGCTCGAGCCAACTGCCCTTCTGAGTCCCTGACCGTGGCTAACATGTCCCTCCCAGCCCCTGCCCCCCAAAGTCCTTTCTCTGCAGGCTGACACCCCCAGACCTTCCAACCACTGCTAGAAAGCCCCAACACACCGCCCTGTGCACCAAACACACAGTCTTTCCCTCCGTCCTGCGTCACCGGGGTGGCACCTTAGCCCTCATTTGTAAGGCAACCAGTCCTTCTCTCCAGTGCCAGCCTCAGACCCTGGGAAATCCGCCCTCACCCCTCCTCTGTCTGCCTTGGTTTCCTCAACCATAAAATGGGAGATCCTAACTGCCCCCCCCGCCCCCCGCCTCCAGGGTGATGATGAGGCCCAGATGAGATCCTCTTTGTAGGCGTATGATAAATGCTGGCCGCCACCTGCTTCTCCTCTCCCTGCCAGGCTGCGGCCCTCTAGGCCAACAGGAGGGGCAGGAACCCCCCTCCATAACGCACCCACCCACGCACACCCAGAGGTGGTGGTGGTGGTGCTCACACACACACACACACACATACACACACTCCCAGAGGTGGTAGGGTGGTGCATGTACACGTGCGCGTACACACACACACACACACACACACCCCCAGGGGTGGTGAAGGTGGTGTCCACACACAGACATATACACACATATACTTACACACACATGCTTACATACACACACTCACATACACACACGGTGGTGGTGATATACACACACACACACTCACACACATACATACACACACACACACCAGGGGTGAGGGTGGTGCCCACACACAGACACATACATACACACACACTCACACACATACACACACCCCTGGTGGTAGTGGTGCCCACATACAGACACATACACACACACTCACATATATACACACACATATACACACACTCACACACATGCACACACTCACATACACACACAGTGGTGGTGGTATGCACATACACTCACACACATATACACACACCCAAGGGTGGGGGTGGTGCCCCCACACACACACATACACCCACACACTCACATACGTACACACACCCATGGTGGTAGTGGTGCCCACACAGACACAGAGACACACATACATACATGCACACACTCACATACATGCACACACTCACATATACACACACAATGATGGTGGTATACACATACATACACACACATACACACACTCAAGGGTGGGGGTGGTGCCCCCCTCACATACACACACACACGCTCACATACGTACATACACACACTCACATCTGGGGTGGTGGTATCCACACACACACACTCATATACATACACACACACAGACACATACATACACACACACTCACACTCACACACACACACACACACACACACACACCCAGGGGTGGTGGGGGTAGCGAGGGTGATGCCCGAGGGCCAAGGGCATGGGGAGCGGCTCCAGGCCAGAGGGGCCGGCAGGGGAGTCCAGATGAGGTGGAGCCTCTACCCCACAAACCCCACCCTGGGGCCCAGACAGAGGCTGGTGATGAGAAGGTGCCACGGGCCCCAAAGTGCTGACAGCAGAGAACTGGAAACCAAGGAGGCGATGGGGAGCAGAGGGGCGGCCTCCAGGGAGCCCTGTGGCCACTGCCATGCCTCGGGAAACGCCCGGTCTGAGGGGCTCCCGGAGGGTCCTGAGGTGCCCCCCGTAGCGTGGAGTGGACGGAAGGGGCACAGCTGTCGGGGGAGCCGATAAATGGTGGGCAGAATTCATCATTTTTAAAGGTGAGCACATGTGGCCCAGCCTCCAGCCTCCGCGCCTTTGCTCACGCTGCCTCTTCTCCTGGGGACGGCCTCCCATCCCGTCCCTTCCCTACCTCTTGAGCCCCTCTGAAAAGAAGGCGGCGCAGGGCTCGGGGCGGCCGGCCCATGGACTGGCCACGGGGCCTCACCCTCCGCTCCCTGGGGTCTGTCTGTCTTCTCCCTTCCCTGGACCCCGAATGTCCTCTCTGGGCTGAGATCCTCACTGCTGGGGCCCTCTTACTAACGTACTGACACGGGGGAAACTGAGGCATGACAGGACAGGCCGCAGGGGCTGCAGCACCTGGGGCCCTCTTGTGACACAGGGGGAAACTGAGGCAGGGGAGGACGGGACGGCAGAGCCCAGGGCCCTGTTGTGACACAGGGGGAAACTGAGGCATGGCAGGAAGGGAT